TCCCATGGCAACCTAATAACCAAGCAGGCACGGGAGATAAATAAATCAATCAATTAATAAACAGTCACGGCCCTTTTCAATCCCCGGGGGCTTTGATATGCTTGCTCTGATCTGCCTAATTTAGGAGGAGCAGAAAAACCGCCAAGGCTGGAAGCTGAGGCACCGACACCGACACAGGAAGTGATCGGGAGAGAAGCAACCGTCTCCACCGATGAGCGGACACACAGCGTCCTACAAAGACACACAAGTATCTGCAGACGTCATCTGTCGCTGCTGCAGTCCCGTCATGAAAGTCAGAGCTAAACTTTCGAGGGACTGATGTAAAGTGGCTTCCCGCTAACGGACGGACATCTGAGCAGCCACAGTGTAGAAACAGGCATGGAAAAGGTCAGCCATCTGCCCCTCGTGTTAAGCTGCCACTGGATGAAGCTGAGTGATGCTTGCATCCTTGCAGTGTGTGTGTGTGTGTGTGTGTGTGTGTGTGTGTGTGTCACGTGCTACAGTCAGCAAAAAGATTTCCGATCTCAAAAGAGGAAAACCTCAGCAGATCCTGACTGCAGCAGGGAATCAGTAACTTCTGAAACTCCCGCCCGTTTCATATTGGTGTCGCCCCCTGCCTCTGCCCACCTCCACCCACAAGCTCCCATCCCATGACCAACGAGGCGCTGACTCCTCATCACCAACCGAACACCCCCTCCACCCTCCTGACTCCAGGGACTGCCGTGCCAGGCGGGTGCAGGGTGACAGATGGCATACACCAACCTCCCCTCCTCACTCTCTCCTCTCCTCTCCCCCACCCCAACCGCACCAGCCCCCTGCTTGCCCCACCCCCCTCCGGTGGCGCAGCGGCGGACCAGATCAGTGCCATTCTGTCTCATTAGAGCCTGGCTAATTAGCGTAGCCTCTTCCAGGGGAGAATGCGTGAGTGTTTGAGAGACGGCGAGGATGATGGGGAGGGAGGGTGTTTGTGGCGTTGACGGTGATCTGTGCTCTTCTGGTCACCGAGGAGTTGGAGGGCTTTGAGCCCCGTGGTGCGCGAGGCTCCCAGGGTGCTTGTTTTGTGACAGCAGGGGCTCTGATTCCACCCACCACACAATTCCTCTCAGGAAGTGTTGGGAATGTTTAGACATAGAAGTCATGTCAAAGGAATGCCCCCGATCTGCTCCGCACCACCCTGCAGCTAACCTCCCATCGCTCAGCTGATTAGCTGCCCTCTATGCCAAGCTTACCCACCCCACCCCCCGTTAACATGGAAACAGCAAAACTCTGCAGCCTGATAAGACGACGTCGTAGCCTCCCTGAGCCACTTAATAATGTTGACATCCAGATCTTAGCTTCGTAGCTAGCATCTCTGCAGGCTAAAATGAGATGGACTGTCTGGCAAATGGCGTCGCTGGATTTGAACCAGCAGCACATGCTTGTTTTCTCCAAGTCTGACTTCTCCTGAAGGCTAAATGGAGACTAAGCGTTCGATCAGCTTGAATCACACCGGAGTTGATCATGAATAAGGATTCTGATTTTATCAGAGAATAAACACAATATATCTGGAGCCGTAAGTCAAACTAAAGCTGCATGAATCACCAAAAAATATAAATACTCGGGGCTGGGAGTGAGTCGCAGCCATTAATCTGATAAAGTAATATGGCTGAGGGTTAGATTCACTGCTCTATAGTTACTACTCTGAATATGTGGCAGTAAAAGAGTGATTGAAATGCAACATTGAATATGTGAGAGAAAGGGAGGGGGGGTGAGGTCTGGCAGAGGCCTGCTGCGGTTACGAGCCCTGAGAGAGAACAGGATGGCTGTGTTCCAGAAACCTCCCAAACACACCGACACACACAAACACCGCTCCACACATTAAACCTGCTCACACATAAACCTAGATCTGATGCAACACACACACACATTAATATCTGTATATATAGTGTGTGTTTGCACACACACACACACACACACACATGCAGAGGAGCATCATTTTACTGCTCCTCCACATAAGGAACACGGTGGATTTCTTCATATTCCAGCTGCTCCTCTGTAATCAAATCAAATCTTATTTTTTAAATAAAATAAAACAGACAAAAAATCTCCCACTGAGCACGCAGGACCAACACATTCTGCTCACCTGATTCTGCGTTTGCTAAAGCATGCTGGGAACCCCTGAACCGAGTTTAAAATGTACGCCGAGCTGACAGGACGGTGCCAGCTTCAGCGATGAGGCCTCTTCGTCACCCTCCCCCAACGATTATTTCCCTGGACCCCATATGGGCACCCTGCCAGTCGAGCCCATCCTCCATCCTCCATCACCAACCACGTCCCCGCTGCTCTCTGCTGGCAGGAGACTCCATTTGGGCTTTAGAGGGTCGTATTTTAACCTCACGAGGCTGCAGATTTCTCTTGACCCGAGCTGCGGTGATGATATCGAAGACTGTATATGATTTCCTCTAACCAGCTCACCTTGTGCTAGCTTGATTTTAAAAGTATAAAGAAGCAGAATCAGCATCAAAATCCTGGAAGCTGCGACTTCACGCCTGTTTCTGAATGAACGAGTAGAGATGAGTTGGCAACCTAAGCAGCTCCGTCTAGCGGGGTTAAACACAGTCTGCTAATGACTTACTTGTTTTGCTGCTGCAGATATGGATTCTTCAGTAAATCACGCATTTTTGTGCATGGATGGAAGCTCGATTCGGTAATTTAAAAATAATTCTTTTAGCTATTTGACAAGTAGCATTTTATTTCATATACCTTATAAACCACCTGACTAAAATCGTACTCTATAATGTCGTTTACAGCACTAACTTTATCATTATTATCCTAAATAATCTCATTATTAAGATTGTTTTCATTGGAAAGCAGTAAGTTTCTAAGTTTGCTTATTTGTTTAAATTTATCATTATAAACTGTATGAAAAAAATCACCTAATAACACTTAACAGACTAAACTACTAAATATTTTTAATTTCTTAGCAAACTTTTTTAAAAAGTATGTCCTTTTCTACTTGTATGTGTGTGGAAACGACAACATTTCTGCACACAACCCTGGGATATTAAGATTCAATTAACCTAGTTTCAATTTTAGACTAAAATTTTTTATTTTTAAATTGTATTTTTGGAACATTTTCTGGCATCCGGAGCTGAAGACGAGGCTTGCGTTTTGTGTTCTGCTGTGGTGATGGGTCTGGAGGTGCTGGTAGCCGTGGCGATGGCGGCTGGTGAGGTAAGGGGGGAGACCAGCTGCCCGGGAAGCGCCCATTACGAGATAGAGCCAGAGATAAGTGCTCTCACAGGCCCCTTTTCAGAGGCATAATTAGCACACTTCTTATCTGCAGCTCAATTCACATTCACACCCGCCTGCCATGAATGGAACGTGAAAGAGAGGCAGAAATCGGGGGGAAAGGCAGAGGTAGAGGGGCAAGACGGAGGGATGGGAGGGAGGTGGAGGAGGAGGCACAGTGGAAACCAGTTCCCAGACAAACCGTCATTTGGGAAGACTCGCACTCCCCCTTTTCTCTTTTCTCCATCATTCCAAGGAGTCTTTGAACTCTTTAACAAAAACAGTGGTTTGTGCATCAAACTGCAATTTGGTAAAACAAAGCTATCTGGGGGTATAATCATCCTAATCAGCAAGAAAAAAATAAAGCCTTTGCAGATATTTCGAGATTATTCCGCCCTTGGTGATCTATTTCTCCACCCATCCTCCTCGTCAAGCACAATTGTGGAAATCTTTCCAACTCTGCCTGCGACAGACTCAGGAAAACCTTTAATAGCGAGTCCTCGGTGCTTTAATTGCTTTTAATAGAAAGTTAGACAGACAGTGCGTTTTCCGTTTGCAGCACACAGGCTTGCATTGTGGGAGCTGTGTGCACTTTGTGAGAAGATGACAGGGGCCCCTCATCGTCTTACTGCACAAAGCTAATATAAACAGGCCTGTTTGGTGTTGAAACAGAGTCAGACGCTGAACTCCAAACCCACAATAAAGAAGACATGAGGCATTTTGCTGATGACTCACCGCTGTAGTCGCTTATTTACAACTTAGACAGACTTTTGATTTCTTTTTACCTCCAACTTTTGCCTAAGTGTGTTTTAGGAACTGTGTGTGTCATTGGTGTGTTTAAAACACGTGACAATGGGGTCAAGAATCAGCTTATTTGGACACAAACAGTTGAGTGATCTTTACATCTTTTGGATTTGACTTTAGACTAAAAGATGTTTGTTGGTGTCTGTGTGTGAAAAATTACATACGCAGGCTGGGAATGCTGTTGAGAAACGGAGAGCAGCTCTAGTATCATTCGAATACATTTGCAGTGGTTTCTAATAGGAATGGATGCCTTGAATGTGGTTATCTGGGGGAAAAAAGCTCCGGTAAACCAGTTTGAGGATGTGAAAGTCAGCTGGAGGAAAAAATGGCAGAACATAGCAAGATTTGGAGTCTTTCCTGATTAGCTAACAGGAACGTCACTCTACCACTGACACTGCTCTGCCACGTTGATGTTTTATTTTCACAAATAACACAGGCCTAGAGGAGTTCTGCTGTGTGGTAGAGTTGCTAATGCTAACGATTAGCGTTTCCTGGACACTAAAACAACGACAGCCTTCCTTGTTGTGAGCCAAGATGGGTGAGTCCATGAATGTTAAGTGACAGTGTGATGTCACACCACCAGGCTTTTCAAATCCTAGAGATTTACATCTGTTTTCTATCAGAAGCTAATGCAGGAAATAGGTGTAGGAGACTACTTTCATGTTCAACCTGCATGAACAAATCAGAGTGACTGATTGTAATCAGAAATAATCATTGAAATGTTTTTTCAGTGATGCTGACTTTTAAGAATAGGTGAATTTTCCATTCTTTTGAAAAAATGTATAAAGAATGAATATTTAATGGATTTTTTCTAGTTTTTAAACAGGTTATTAAGATGTTTCTGGAGACATATAACACATATACGACACAAAATCATAACCGCTTTTTATCTGAGCCAGGTGTCCGGCGTGTCTGTGCTTTGGTACCTGGCTCTTGGAGGCGGCCACCTTAGCGAACAGAGCCTGGGACACTTTGGCCCTCTTCATCTCTTGCTGGATCTCATCATAAATCGTGGAGTTGATGTTGAGGATGCAGTTTTCCGTTTTGCCGTTCCACTCGCTCGGTAAAGGTGACGGTTTTACCTTCAAATGAAGAAAAGGAGAAAATATTGCTGTAAAAGTTGGAAATTTTTCCCAGTCAGAACTCTTGTCAGACACAAATATTACTTTCATTGACCTTTAGGCTCTTGTAATAAACGTTTCTGACACTAAGGTAGTCTTAAAAAGTGCAGAAGACTTAACATTCTTAGAGTTAATCAGAATAAGCTAATCTAAATAAGAGCAAAGACTGAGTTAAGAGACATTATTTCTGCTTTAAATGTGTTGAAGAGTTTTAAAGCTCGTATTGGGTGTGTTTATTGTAGAGATATTGGAGAGGTGGATGGGCGATGCAGTTCACTCACAGGTGAGATGCCCACTGGAATTCTGGGATTCCAGTCCTCAGGCCTCACGCTGTTACAGTCTTCTCTCCGGGGCTGCAAAACAGAACACAGTTCATTCAGGCTCATGTGAAGCTGAATAAAGGGGATCTGTCTACACACACACACACACACACACACACACACACACACACACACACACACACACACACACACACACACACACACACACACAGCCGTGTAGATTACACCCACACACAGAGAGACTGGAGTGTTACTTTGCTCAAAAACACTTAGATGTGTTGTATGAAACGTTATTGTTCTTATGTCAAGCTGGTGATTAAAAAGCAAATGCAAGTCAAGTGAAATCAAATCATTTTTAATCAGCGGCTTGTTGCATCTTGACAAAAATCCTTTGACAAGGTAACAAGCATCCTAATAAAAGCATTACCCAAGAACCATTAGCATATGAATCATTCCATACGAGGCTTTTTGAAAGGAGACATCCACGGGGTTTGGGATGAGTGCAAGTGAATAGCATTCAACTAAACGATAATAACACCAACAGCTACCAACTACTAGCAAATAAAAGCCCGCCATCAAAGAACATATATATTTACGCATTTGTCTAGACGTCTAATACGAGCTTTATATGCTAACGACAATCACTCAATCCTAAAATTTGTGGTGAGATTGGAATGTCGGAGCATCTCTGGGCCTTTAAGGTTCTTTTATGCCAGCTGGACACAGGTCTGTGGGGCCGAGCAGGACGTTTCTGCGTCAAACAAATTGTGGAGGCCAGGGCTTGCAGTGACTGGCTTCGGAGAGCTGCGGCGATCCATCAGCACACATGAGAGAAACATACCTCTGCATCTGTTTTTATGAGGCCAATAAAACCCTCCTCTGTCTCTGGCTCAATTGCCACCTTGGCTGATTTATGTGCGTAAATTCACACCGCATTGCTCCATAGGAGAGGCTGGCAGATGGCCAGGTGTATGGAGTGTGCAAACGTGTGTCTGTGCTTGTTTGTGGGAATTGCCTAGTGAAGAAAAAAGGTCTCCATGACAAATATCAGAGAGCTGAAGTCCCATGGCGAAGTATACGAGGCCTGGAGCGCTTGTGCTGATGTGTCAACAGTTTTCTGAGTGATGTTTAAATAAAAATCACAAACCTGAGGCTTTGAACTGTGTCAGGTTTTAGTCACCGTCTTTACGGTTAATCTCGCAGATCTATTTCAGTCTCCACAGCTATGAAAACTAGTTTCATATTTGCAAAAAGGGCTTTGTTAGATGGTATCTCACCTGATGTGATTAGCGATGCCCTGAATAGTCACAGTTCTGAAAGACAACCTTTAAGTTTGGCTGAACTAATGAGCACACAAACAGCAGGCATTTAGTGGAAGCATTTCTCACTTTCACTCGTGTAAGAATTCACTCTGAACTTCTGATTGTAAAGATGAGCTGTGAACTGCTTAAGTGGCTCTGGAGCTCTGCTTTCATGAAGAGCACTTTGGAGGGGGGCAGCTTGGTTTTGGAGATGGGTGGACCTGCGCCTGAATAAAAGCCAAATATTCATTGAGGACAGGACAGAGGACGACTTTGTGTGCCCCTCTCACCTCCCAGATGCAGCTGACCGCACTTCAAATGGGCTTAAGTGGTAGAAAGTTGCCACATACCTCTTACATAAAGGACACTGATTCGTAGAGAGGGTCCAAAGTTGTGCTGCGGTATGCGCAGATTTGGAAAGAGGCACTGAACTGAACGATGTTTGATCTTTCACGGAGCTTGTCATCACTGAGTGAGCTTTGGTTTTTTGAAACGGGAGGGCTGTTAGTGCTGCCTAATGCGCGGTAAAAGGTCAAAATTAGCACAAAAAATTATCCATCATTTGTGTACCATTCTCACCTGAGTGGTGAGGGCGGCGATGATGCACAAGCTCATTTACATGCAGGGAGAATGTAAAGCACGATGCCTCGAGTGTGCGCGACAGCAAAGGGAAACGTTTGATGTTTTTGGCCGTGCGCGTGTGCACGTATGGCTACTTGCTGTTGCCAAATGGAAAAAAGAGGACATTAATGAGCACAAGAGTCTTTTTGTACCATAAATATGGTTCAACTTTACTCATATCTTTAATGTGTTTGTAGGAGTCTCTAGCAGCGGTGGAGCGGCCGTCTAGCATCGTCTATGTGGGCCCGTTACCCATTGTAGGCCGGTTGGCCAAACACGCACCCCGCTCTGCCGGCTGGCGGGATGCAGTATTTTCATGGCATTCATGGATCTTTTACCTCCACAAATAACACAAGCCTGAAGGACTTCTGCTGTGTTATGGAGTTGCTAATGCTAACAGTTAGCGCTTGCTAGTCGAGGCGTTCTTTGCCGTCTCCTGGACAAGTTACTTTTTGATGAAGTAATTAGTAACTGTCAAGTAAATGTCAAGGCATAGGTCTTCACAGAGTTAACTAGTTTAGTTATCTCAGGCAAAGAAACAGGAGCAACGTGACTCTACCACTGACTCTGTTTTCTTTGCTACGTTGAGGATTTCTGCTGTGTGGTGGAGTTGCTAATGCTAACGGTTAGCTTCTACTAGCCGAGACGTTCTCTGCTGTTTCCCGGACGCTAAAACAACAACAGCCTTCCTTGTCGTGAGGCAAGATGGGTGAGTCCATGATTGTTAAGTGGCAGTGTGTCATAGATCTGTTTCTCCATCTATTTTCTATCAGAAGCTAATGTAGGAGATAGGTGTAGGAGACTATTTTCACCTTCAGCCTGCATGTTAAACTCAGAGTGACCAATCATTTTCAAAACTAATAAGTAAAACATGGTTTCTCAGTGAACCTGCTCTTAACATAACATAAAGTCATGAGGTTGTCGCGTCTGGATCAGATCTATGATAAGACTACAAACACAAACAGAACCATGCACACCCCCACACCTGTCCTGCATACCTTTCCTCATCACTGACTGCAGGTAAATGCCTTCGTGTAGGAAAAACATCTTAAAACATCCATCTCAGAGGATTAAAGCAACAGATTATCCGACATATGTTGTTATTTCATCTACGGTGAATGTTTTTTGTTCCTTTGAGCAAAAAACTGTTTGATGTGAGTTTGAGTCACAGAGAAGTGGGTGTTGTGAGCCTTTAGTGGGTGTACAAAAGGTTTTATTAGTGGTTGTAAGCTGAATGAAGAGTAAATACTGAAAGGTTTGGGTTGTGTTTGTGTAACAGCGACCAGGTCGGCTGTTCGGTTCCTGTGGGTTAAACAGAATCTAAACTCTACGTTCTCTCATCCAGCTGGGTTGATGGCATTCAGCCACTTAAACCACGTGACACAGATAGAGAGCGGATCCTGAGTGTACAGACTTGTTTCTAGTTAAAGCTACAAAAATACAACTGGCTGCTTCAGGGGTCCAAACCAAAAGTCAAAATACTTTTAGTCCATGTTTGCGTGAGCTATATTTACAGAATCTGAGGAGTGTTTTCTTTAGCAGCTCTGAGTCCTGATGTCGGCATTGAGTTCCCTGAACTGGACCGGATTGGTTAGAAGGACAGAGCGTTGCTCAACCATGCACTGATACTTGTGCAGATCTGCCCTCGGGAGTAACATCTGGGCTTTGTTTCATTCAGCAGCCTTCATAACTGATAGCATTAGTTGATCAACTGGAACATTAATGAAATATTAGGCTTTTTCTGTTAAGATCTGCATCAACTGATGTAGAAGTAAACAAAATCATCTATAACCGACAGAAGCATTCACTGACTGGAGTCAGTTTGTCGGTTGAGATTCAGATGTTGTATCTGAGTATCTGGAGCAAAGTAAGTTGCAGAGTTACGTGCCGTACCTGTACAGGCCGACTGGGCGGCGTGCTGATGAGCGGTGCAGAGCCCATTGCCGAGGCAGCCGTGAGGCTTCGCTCCCTCTCCTCCTGATAGATCCGGTCTCGCTCTGCCTCTGGAAGCTGCAGGAAGTTCTGCATGGCGCGCAGGTTGACCAGCAGCGACTGGGACGCCGTCTTCGGGTCTTCCTCCTTACGAAGAATCTCAGACAGCAAGCCCTGTGGGATGGAGAAGAGAAGGTGGGGGAGAACGGCAACAGTGAAGAAAAAATGGTGAGTTTGAAGGAGACATCCAACAAGAACAATCACCTCAGAACTTTCCTAAATAAAAGCACCAAATGTAGCGCCCTCTCACACCTAAAAGTGCAGTAGAAAATGTGGAAAATCCTCATCCAGTCATTGTGGATGTCTCGTTCTTAATGACTGGATCTTGATCCATCCATCAAACTGCCCTTTGACCATCCCTCCCATCCCTGTGCATGATTCGTGCATTCTTGGCTAAAGCAACTAAACAGGAAGTGAAGCCAGAGCTGGGATAGCTGTATTAACTAGCAGACTCAACTGCGTTACGTTCCATAGTTTTGTTATGTTAAGAATTATGGCAGAAAACCTGCAACAAAATGTTGAAAAACTAAAATAACATTACGTTGTTATGAGTGCTTGACAGCAGTCTCTGTATTCTAGGGGTGTGGTTTGGGGCGGAGCCTGAATAAAAGGGGTTGGACCTTTGAATTGTGTTTATTAAAGATGTTTCTAGGAACATCTACCTTTGACTACCTCACCTAACCCTTCACCTGCAAACTTTAGGGTTTGTAGCTGAAGAGCGTTTCTGCTGAGAAATCCGCTGAAACACAGTCTCAGCTCGTTTCTGTTGCTTAAAAAAACGTCTTATCCGTTCATCTCAAAGTCGAATAAAATCTTCCCAGTGGAACTATTTGTGATGCACGATAAAAACGCGTCATTTCAAAGTCCGTGTTTTCTCCATTTTACTAATATTTGGCTGAAAGTCCTTTTGCATGTTTTTGTTTCCTAATCGTTATTATTTTTTAAAATAGAAGTGCAGCTATTTGCCTGAAATAAGTCAGCTTGTTCGGCGAGCAATCAGTGTATCCTGTGTTTACTTTTCAATAGCGCTCGATTCCATCATTATGAGACAGCGATGACTCCATTATCAGAGACGTGTGATTGGGTCTTTTCATCAGTTCTCGGCCACACACTGTGTAAACCGTCGCTGCGCCTCTCTCGCCATCAATAGGTATGATTTGGTAATATAACAAGGTGAGGGTGAAAACACACTTATGATTTATTCCATTGACTTTTTTTTAGTCCTCTTGGATTAATGATCTGAGCTGAAATATGAGCGCTGATGCCTGAGAACCCAAATGTTTGCAGCTCTCTGCTTCTCCACATCTGTGAACAAAATAAATGTTTTTATGGATGAGGACCTGCATGCATTTTAACATTTTCCAGCTTGTGAATGATCATTGTTCTTTGTCATCAACCCCAACGGTCTATCTTTGGTCGATCCATTTCCTGGTGCCACAATATGGTGCACCTCCCCCTCCGTCTATTAACACAGGCTTCTGGAAAAGACACAAACCTAATAAATAATCCTCTAAAAGCGCACTCTCCAACTGCACATCGGGGCTAATTCCTCATATGAGCCACAGATAAGACTCCACTTGTGTGGGAGCTTCCTGATCTGTGCAAAACCACGGCTGTCTAAGGCTGCCATGTGACACACAAACTTCTTTTCATGGGTGTGTGTGTGTGTGTTCTACGTATGCAAGATTTTTATCTTAATTGTTCCCTTTTCATACAAACCTACATTAAAGCAGATGAGTGATGCTGATGTTTGCCGTCACGCCCTAATACAGATATTATCAATTCAATTGAGCTTTAAAAATCACATCATGAGATTGTAGCAATAGTTTTAATGAATGAACAGGAGCTCAGAAACTCAATCAGGAGGCAGAAACAATCAGCGTGTTTGTAAATCTATCAAGTCAAAGTTTCACTTTCTGACTAGAAGCAGAATCTTCTTCTGAGCCAAGAGAACAGATTCTTATTCTGTTTAAAGTGGTACTTCGCTGAAAAAAGTGCTGATTATAATCAGTCCCTCCGAGTTAAACACTATTCCTGAACATAAAAATAGTCTCCTACACCAATCTCCTGCATTAGTGTCTGATAGAAATAAATTATGAAACTCTAGGATTTCAATAGCCTGACAGATCTACATCACACTGTCTCTAAAAGTTCATAAACTCACCCACCTTGACTCACGTTGGGTAAAGCTGTTGCTTTTTTAGCTTCCAGGAAACAGCAGAGAACGTCTCGGCTATAGAAGCTAACTGTTGGCATTAGCAACTCCACCACACAGCAGAACTCCTTCAGGCTCAAGTTATTTGTGGAGATAAAACATCAACGTTGCGAAGCAAACAGTGTCAGTGGTGGGGTCGTGTTGCTCTTAGCCAATCAGAGGCGAGATGTCCAAATATCAGGAAATAAGACTCCAAATCCTGCAGTTTGAAACTACTTTCAGTTGACTTGTACTTCCTGAAACAGGCACATCTGAGTTGTTTTTACTTTCCTTACTTACAAGGCATTCATTCCGAATAGAGACAACAGCAAATGTATTGAATAAACAAGTAGATAACATCTTCAAAACTTGTGGATCACAGGCCCGGCTCATACGTTAAGATAATTATGCCAATTTTATAGCAGATACAACAATCTTAGGAGAGTGCTCGATTGCTGTAACAACTATTCCTACTATGTGGTGTGTTAAGAGTGTCTGGTCTGCTTGAAAACACGTTGGGACTGCTCCAATCACAGATCAGGGATATTAAACATGTTGAATTGTCTTGGTCTGATTTCCAAGAAGAACTAACTTGCTGCCTGTTAATGTGACGCGTAGCAGATCAGACAGCAGAGTGATGGAAGTGTGCGACACAATCATCCCCCCGCCATGTTTGTTTCTGAAAAGTCACGTTTCATCTCGAGAGGTTTTGTGGGATTTCTTGTCTGAGCGACGAATGTTCATGCGTGAAATCGATTTGTGTGAAGTGTGTAGTTTTTGCCGTAAGAGCGGATACCACACATGTTCAGACCAACCGTGATTTTTTTTCTGTTGCTGTGTGTGCAACATTTTTTAAATCCCGCCATGTGACTAAAAACCAACATTCCAACATTTTTAACAATATACTTACACTGAAACTGACACAGAGCTAATGGCTCAAGGGAAGTGAACTGTATTTATCTGAACAGAGGCTGTTCAGTAAGTGTTCTACGGCAGGTATGGGTGGAGTTATTTATAACTAAGACACTTAACCCCCTTGCCTGCTGGTGGTGGTCGGAGAGACCGGTGGCACCAGTGCTCGGCAGCCTCACCTCTGTCAGTGCGCCCCAGGGCAGCTGTGGCTACATCATAGCTCATCCCCACCAGGGTGTGAATGTGTGTGTGAATGGGTGAATGACTGATTGTGTTTTAAAGTGCCTTGGAGGGTTCCAGGACTCTAGAAGGCGCTATATCAAATACAGGCCATAACTTTGACACAACCACAAAAAGGCCAAAATCAACAACTTTTCTTAAAGGGACTTTACGGAGTTTTGAATTTTTATGCTCGTGATTGCCCCCCTCAGGCCAAAAGCGTAATGGCAGCTTCAATAGCAGGCTCGTGCACGAGGCGTGCATGCTGTACGTGCACACTCCTTAATGAAAATAACAGCTGAGACAGTCCCGTGTGTGTGTGTGTGTGTGTGTGTGTGTGTGTGTGTGTGTGTGTGTGTGTGTGTATGTGTGTGTGTGTGTGTGTGTGTGTGTGTGTGTGTGTGTGTGTGTGCGTGCGTGTGTGTGTGTGTGTGTGTGTGTGTGTGTGTGTGTGTGTGTGTGTGTGTGTGTGTGTGGCCCGGAGGACAGGAGAACGCGCAGCTAATTAATAAAATAATTTGGTTCTGTACCTTTCTCTTCAGCGCAGCCGACAAAGGTTTAAGATGGGTCAGTCCGTCAGCTTCACAGATCATTCCCTTCCCTTGCTTGAAAAATTGTTCCAAAATGAAAGTTGAACCCACATCTTTTTTATCTGTGAATTCTATGCCGTTCGGCGAGTCTCAAATAAAAATTTGGGCATCTTACTGTAAAAAATATACCATTAATGTAAAAAATAAATTCTAAATGAAATTGTGTTCACATTCAGAATCGAACCTGGGTCCTCTGCATGGGAGTCCGACGTCTTAATAGGTGTGCTAAAATGCTGGTGACGTCTTCTGTAACTGTAACTTTTATATGCTAGATGACAGCTGAAACAACGTTCAAAGAACGGTTCGGAGCGCAAATGGCTAATTTGTTGCTAATTTGCAGGAAATATCTAGAAGAAAGTAGCTAAGGGTCCTCAGAAATGTAGCTAGGTTCATCACTAGGCGTTAGGAACAGCGACAAAGTGGCTGAGTTGGCACTACCTCACTCTCTGCTGCTAAAGCTACTGATAGCAAATGCTACGGGCTATGCCTGAGCGTGAACGCGCATGAAGCAGCCTGCTCGACTCGAGCAGCTCTCTTTTTCTGTGATTTTACAGAAAAACAGGCAATCACAGTAAAAATGCCAGGGCTCATTCTACAGGACCAGGGCATTGCAGGAGAATGTATGAAGAAGAAATTTATTATTTCTATACATATTTTGGCTGTCAAAGTTCCATAATGCCCCTTTAAATGTAAACTAATAAAAGTCAGATAGTACATTAACCAATTGGTGCAGCAAAAACTAAAATATACATATTAATATGAAATTTTCCCTAAAATTCAGTTTTCCAGTTTAATACAATAAGATGAGTCATCTGACATCTGGGAGCCTCCAATACTTCCTGCTGCTCGCTCTTGTTCACAGCAGTAGACCTGTTAACTTCTCAGTGTGGAAAAGACTGATTATAAGAACCTCAGAAACGGATATGAAAGGAACTCTACTTTTAAAAACGTGTGTGTGTGTGTGTGTGTGTGCGCGCGTGCGCACGTGAGTGATGTCACAGCAGAACCCGGGATCGCTCTCATGGCTGCCTGCCAGCTGTCTCCATGTAAAGCTGAGATGTTATCAGCAGCCAGTGATAGTTATGAATGAGACAACATCAAACACCAACCCTTCCTGCACCATAACAGTTTTAAGTGACTTCCTGAAGTCCAAAGCATCCATCTGGAGCTGGACATGAGGGGGGTGTCACTGGGATAGGGGTTTAGGATTGATGCTTTTAGATGGAATCGATGAGTTAACCTGTAACCTGTAGGTGAAGATGCGGTCTTCTCCATAAATGAGACGCTTTGCCAAAGGAAACTGTTTTTGCTTCTTGTTAACGGGTGAATATCTGGGTCAGATCCAGCATAACATCATAAAAAATTAAGTTCAAGTGTAAATGTTGCAGCTAAGCTTCACTCAGATGGAATTCATGAGAAAGATGAAACAATTAGAAGGTTTCGCTGTTGATTCAGACTACTTCCTGCTCAGATTAGGTCTGAGCAAAGGTGATGGTGGATAATAACTTCCTGTTCTCACCTGTGTCCTGTTGAAGGCCACCCGAGCGAAGACGGCCTGTGAGATTCCGGCCCGTTTCAGCTCGTCCCGGACCCACTGGTAGATCTCTGAGGAGACCTCCGTGTTGGAGGCCACCTGAGGCTCCATGGGCTTGGTGTGGGAGCTGCGGTTCACCGGCGGGTGGTTGAGGTACTGCTGCGACAGGGACTGCTGTGCCAGCAGCCGGTTCACGGCGTACTGCTGATTGAGGATCTGCGCCATGACAAGCTGCTGGTTGACCAGCTGGGGGCTGATGGGAGTGGACACCAAACCTGGATGGTGCAGGCCGGGAAGCTGAGGCTGCCGGCCGCCAGTTTGGCCACTGTGTGGTGGAGCGTGAGGAAGAGGAGGCACCGGCGAGGAAGGAGTCTGCTCCGCCGTGCTGCCCGGGATCGGCTGCTGCTGGGAGAAACCAAGGTGGTTGTGGTTGGAGCCGGGAGGGGAAAGGTCGGACAGGCTGTCCATGTCTGCTGGAGGAAAAGATCAAACAAAATAAAAATTACAACCAACTTCTCTTCTTTAGAGTCTACCAACGCGTTCGGATTTAGTTTAGCTGCAGAACAACCACCCTAGTTACAGATCTGGTCTGGACCGGATCAGACTCCAGCCTCAGGTGAGTCTTCATCACCCAACATTCCTGGCTGCATTTTATGAGGCAGGAGAAATTTTTATAATCAGCGATCCTTCAAAACCAAAGAAAGAAACTAGTTCTTACTTTTCCATTCAAAGGATGAAACACAGCTGATCAGCTAGAGAGCCGAGGAGCAGGAAAAAGAATTTCATTGTGTCTCATGCTCCCAGAGTTGGGTTCAGAATGTCTGTGGCCTCGTGAAATACACAAACCCAGACATGCGTGTGTGTGTGTGTGTGTGTGTGTGTGTGTGTGTGTGTGTGTTTCTCTTTGCAGCCTTAATTCTAAAATAAGGAACACACGCTAGCCAATGTGACATTTTTAGGGGAGGCTGGTTTAAATATAAATTTGAGGCAAATACAGAAACTACCTTGTTTAAATGTAATTTACCAGCCTGAATCTGAGTTATTTAATGTGTTTTTATTATTTTATTTTTTTGGGGGGGGGGGATTTTTGTCTCTCTTGCTTTGGGAATCCTTAATTCCATAATGGCTGCTGGGGAATATTTTAAGACAGGTTTAAATGATGCGCTTAGGGGATGAAAACAATGATTTAAGATTCAAAGTACTACCCACAGAGAAGCGAACGTTTTCAGGTCGCTTTTCCTCTTCAAGGGAATCACTTATGCCGAGGATTTTCAGCACATACATACGGCACCGAGCGAGTGAGGGGGCAGCGTTTAGGAATTTATACGCATGGTAACATTAACACCTCGGAAGCCGGCTGCGGCCTCCACATCCCACGGAGAAGCATCGTATGAAATAGGTGTTGAGGGAAATCTCGGTTGTTGAATTTTTCAGCAGATGAAAGATTAACTGCATGGAGGTTTTCCAAAAATATCCACAATAATCGACGCCTGTTTTCCTTTAAACTGTCAGGATGCACCAAACGCCCGGCCAAGACGGGTCTATTGAGGGTTTGTCAAAAAATCCCAAAAAGACGTGAAGTGGAAGAGATGAAACACAAAAACAATATAAAGGGAAAAATCTTGGTAATAATCACATCTCTGCTCATAATCCCTGGCTCTGATGGTATGGCGTGCCAATTCACACATGTGTGTGTGTGTCCGTGCTCACGCAGACTGCTGGGGGGCATGCTAACAACACACAAACACAGAGGCACATGGAGGCATTTCCATAAAATTTGAAAAGAGAAGGGGTGACAGCGGAGCATGGCAGGCCCTGGGAGAAAAACGCTGCCACAGAATCGGGAGTCCTCGTGTGGAATCCTGCCACAAAAGAGCCCCGGATTAAGCACACAATGGGAATGGGATGTGGGCTGAAGGAGGGAGGGTGTGTGTGTGTAGAGGGAATGTGAAAGAGAGACATTGACCCAACTCTCACTCTCGTGTTGATTCTCTGCACCAGTGAGCGCACACCCGCTGCATGGCGGCCGCTAGCTCCTCCTCAGCTCGTAGCACCTGATCAGGTGCTCACCTGCCCTCACCTGAGGGTAAACACCGTGGGGTGAGGTAAACACACCGTCAGGTAAAACAGCCAAAGCACACGGCGACAGACGCACATTCGCCAACTTTTCATTTCATCATGCTGTTTTCTTCAGTTTGTGGCTGTGGAGACAAGATATGAGCCCACCGGGATTACCACAGTGTGTGTGGTTTTATTGGTTGGGTGGGGGGCTCATGTGCTGGAGCTTTAGCTGAGGTTTTGGCTAAGATGGCAAGAGGGCACTAGAGTTTGAGCAAATGTAAAGATGTTATCGCTGCCTCGGTGTGTGAGTGTGGCTCCTCATCGACGCCTCAGACAGAATGATAGCAAACACGGACGTGCGTGTTTAATATCAAGATTACACAGACTTCAGATGATTATTTCAGAGCTTGACATGCGATCGTTGCTACTTTAAATACATAGTTTTGTTTCTCTCAGTGATTTATGATCATTTTGGATCCCTTAAACTCTAAAGCTGAATTTGAACAAAAAATAGTTTGAATTGTTATATTTGGAGGCTTCCCTTAATGTAACAAATAACGACCACCTAAAAGTTTGCTTTTTACATTAAAATTTACAGATCTCTTCTAGAGCACCACTTCAAATCACGCAAATTAGTGAGTTATGTGATTTTTAAACGTTTCGGTGGCTGACTGCTTTTAATTTCAAAGAGGAAATGAGCAACTAAAGAGACATTTTTCATTTCTGCTGGTTTTGGAAGCAAGATTAGGATTAGGATTAAAGTTCAGGAGGTAACTATCAAACTTTTAGTTTTCACATTTAGGACTGAGCAACGATACGTGAATCTTAACACATGTTTACATTTAAATGTGTGATTTACTCATTTATTCAATGCATTTACAGTATTCTCTAGTGTAAATCAATGCCTTAAGAGTCTTTAAAAATAGCTATGATGCTCCTGTTCTGAGATGCAGAAGTTAGCTGGTAAACAGCAGTATTACTCATTGTTATTAATTATATACACACACCTCGCATCTGATTGGCTAACATAATGCTTTCAGCCATGTTGTAAAGTCATGTGGGCGGGCAAGAGCCAAGATGGGCGGGGCCATGAATGCAAATTCACAGTGTGACATAGATATGTGAGGATTTTCAAATCCTAGCATTTCACCATCTATTTTTTATTAAAAGCTAACACAAGAGAAAGGTGTAGGAGACTGTTTTTGTGCTCAGCCTGTATGAAAAACCCAAAGTGACTGATTATAATCAGAAATAATAATTTAAAAACGGTTTCTCAGTCAATCACACCTTTAAGGTTCGTTTACAACTAATTTCAGAGGTGAAAGTTGTGGCTAACTCTGCAGATATTTGCTAATATTAACTAGTCAGTGTGCGTTAGTTGCAAGTGCGTATACATGTATGTGTGTGTGTGTGTCCATGTTGCAACATACCTAGTGCATTGGCACGCGGGCTCTCACGGAGGACACACGTCCCCAGGTAGCCCTCCAGCTGGGAGGGTTGGCGCATCCCTGCACAGTTGGATGACAGAGCAGGCACAGCCACACACACACACACACACACAGAAACACAGAAGCAGAGGGTTAAAGCCTTCTACAGATTGTCTCTCCCACTGCAGCGTCGCGGGAATAAAACATCAGCATCACTAAAAGGCCAGACTGGCAGCTGCAGTGTTTCCACTTTTAAAGAACGTCGCATCAGATAGAAAACAAGTGTGACAGAAAATGTGTGGGAGTGTGTTAGAGAAAACACGAGAGCAGCAGGTCTGAAGTTAATAATGCACCAAGTGTGTGTTGTGACTTTAAAAGGAGGAGGAGAGGGGGGATCAGATAAAAGATGATCAGAACACACCGTTTGCATTTACGATGTGAAAACATTTTGATATTGTATCTGATCTGTCATCGCTGTGAGGAATAGCACGCTAGCAATGAGAAAAGATTAGAAATGACTATCTTAACATTACGGAGTCTTAAAAGTCTGCTCTGATTAATCAACCGTCAGAAATAAAACATATCAGGGATTCATCTCTAGCTTGGATGCTACTGGAACTCTACAACCCCATTTCCTGGTGGGTCAAAGAGTACTTTTTTATTTCGAGATTGTATAAAGCTGTGTTTTGGTAGAAGGAAGATAAGAAAATCTAATTTAGGTGGAGACCAGACAGTGGACGCTTCATCTTTGCTGCCTTTTGTTCAGAGAAACTCCGTTTGGGTCCGACTTCAGTGTTTAGTTAAGGCAGCAATGGATCGTTTAACGACAACGCCGGGTTCAAGCGCTCTGAGTCATCAGGAATTATTAGATAAGAAGATAAAAATGTATTTCTGCATCAGCGGGAAGACAAAGAGTCGTTTGGATAGGGGACACATTGTAATGACTGCTGCTGTGTGAGTGTGTGTGCGTGCAGTGACAAAAAGTGTGAGCGCCATACTTTGCGCCCCTCCGTTTTGCTTACCCATCATATCTTTTGTCTTCTTGAAATGTTTATACCAGCGCCCAAATTCCTGACACTTTGCCGCCGACACATTTGCATAGTAAGTGCTGTTCACAATGGAGGAAATCATACTCTGAAAGAGAGAGATTGATTGAGAGAAAGGAGGGAGGGGGGGCTTTAGATAGTGGAAAAAATACACACGTAATATTAAAGCTGGTGAAACATGCAGCAACACGGAAAAGCTCGTCGAAAACGGATGGGATACAGCAATCAGGACAAACCCAGAACTGAAAACATGCAGGGTTGGAGTTCTTCTACTAAAAGAACATCAAACAAATTCAATTTTTTTTCTGTGATTTTATCAAATGCCAGAGTTTGGTTGGTTGTTTTGGCGCACATGTTTTAGTCAGCTGACCTTAACGTGGTTAAAAAAGATCTTTAGAATAAAAGAGTGCATCGTGGTGAGAATCAGCTGTGGAGGTGGGCCAGAAAGCCCGATAAGCCTTTTTTTCAGCTCTTTATTTATGCAACGTGTTAGAAACAACGTCTGGAGGCAGACTGGGGTGCACGGGGAGCATGTTGTATTGCGACGCACGTGCGCTCCCGCTTGTCCCCGTACACTTGGCTCTTTGCCCTCACAACCTTTCCTTCACCTGAGAAAAACAAAGAGCTCCTTCCTTCCTTTATTTATTTATTTGTTTACTTTTAAATTCTCATCCAGTTTCATTAAAACGAATGTTTTAACACCTTGCCAGCCTCCGGGGGAATACCCAGGTTGGTGCAGGAAGAATTGTTTTTGATTGTTATAAATATTCAAAAGAACCAAACCATCTGTTTTCAAATTATCGGTATGCCATCTTTATCATTTTCTATAATGTATGTGTTTGGAGGATGCTGGGGGAAACCTTCTGGCAAAAGGGAATGCTTCAGGATGATTCCAGTGTTCCGGCTCTAGCTTTTCTGCTCAAACGGAGGCTAAGAGAATGACAGCTGTGCCATCGGAAAGGTCGCTCAAGTCCTGACCCCTCTGTGAAAGCTGTTAGGTTGCAAACATAAGACGCTACAGCTCTGCCTCCTTTTCAAAATAAAACTGAGCCATATCATGATCTAATGTGAAATGCCTTTTAATCTGAAAGTGAGACTCACATCCAGTGAAAATGGGTTTAATGTCTCATAGTTCAAAAGCCCTTGCATTTAATTTTCTGAAAATGTTTTGGGTTAAACGTACAGGTGTTCTAAATATTCTCTGACATTTTCAGCTTCACATTTTTACCTAACCTGGATCAAACCCACTAGAGTCTCAAAAGATGCGGATCCGGATTTCAGCCGCTGGTAAAAGTTTAATCTGGATTCATTTTAGTGGAATTCTCCCGGACTATCAACGTTTTTTTGCCTATTGAGGACATCATGTTTCATCGTGTGCAGAACACAAACACACCTGGAGGATGCTGCTCCAGCCAGGGGACTATAACATGTGGGATTCTATAAAGTCTACGAAGGTCAAATGGGAGAATTCACCAAAAAACAAACTGAAGGCAAAACTCTGTGAGAGCTAAAGGATTAATTTTATTTTATTATCGGACTAATTATATAATATATTGGCCAATGCTGGCATTAAAAAGTAATATCGCATAATATCTGTATCGTTTTTTACTCCATAAATGAAACAACTTAACATACCGCACACATATAATACATCAAACTCTCCGGCTTCATCTCTTCTCTCTCCAAATGTCATAATGTGACAGATCTGAGGTTTAGTTTTGAGATAATTTAGGTTTTTTTTTTTTTGGCACAACTTGTGAATAAGTAGGATTTTTCCCTGTTTAATGAGGATCTGCTAGCCTAACAGCAAGTAGCTACATGTAGCTAGCCAGTTAGCCAATGGCTAAAACAAAAACAAGAATCTTCACCCAAGACTTGCTTTTTTTAACTGAAGATCCCTAAAAATATTTAATTATTACACACATCTTAACCTCACTCTTAGCAATTAGCCTAGCTTACCATGTGTATGTTCATGCTGCTTACACTTCAACTGAGTAACTTTAAAGGGCAATTCACCCCCTACCAGAGTATTACTCCACTCCCACTTCCTGTTTGAAAAATGCAACAAATGCTGTTGCCTAGCAGACCGATAGGGCAGAGCCGCTAACAAATACACACACACACACACACACACACACACACACACACAGGCTCACCACGACATTGTGACATCATATGGTACCAGCTAACGTTCTAGGGTATCTCTTAGCCAATAGCGATGGCAGATGTAAATTCAAATGCAGTGCAGAGTTTTTACCTGACAGCGGCACAACACTGACAGTTTTAGGCAGAAAATTTTAATTTTAACTAAAATGCACTAAAGTGCAAAACTATTGAATGCACGTGTCTGCAGCACAATTAGACACACATTTATGTAGTTTATCAGAAAAAAAAGTTTATTTGGGGGTGACTTGCTCTTTAACACATGCCCCAAAATTCCCTAAATACATAGATGGCTACAAAAATGAATATTCTCCAAGGAACAAAGGTATAATTCAGCGTGTTCGTGAGACAATAATTTACTCATTTCCTCCTAAATGTAAAAAAAATGGGAGCGGAGCAAACTAAAGATAGGTCTGAGGTGGGAGCCCTAACTCTGTCGCGTTTCTGTATATACAATATAACAAAGATTGTTTGGAACAGGGATGTCTCACTTGGATCTGTTTTCAAAACTCTAAACATTTGACCCTATTTTAACATGAATTCACTTTTACTATTTATTAACTTCTTAATCTAACTTTTTCGTACAATTTCCTTAATGTTTGTTTAAAAGGCGTCAAGTAGTGTTTGTCAGGATTATCTCAGGGAGAATATGATTCAGCTGCTGTTGGAGACAAATTAAATACTTTTTCCTATTGACTAGCTTAAATTAAAACAGATGTTTGCAGCTGAAGGATGCATGATAGGAGAAATGTAATGGTAGCAACCTGACATGATTAGAGGGGGACCCCGTAGATATCGCAGTGTTTCCCTATCTGGATTCCAGCACCATCACCCCACCCTGCTCCCCATCCAACCCACCCCTCACGGCCAATGTACAAATGCTAAATGATTTGCGCACAACCACCGCAATGCCCCTCGTCAACTAGCACCACAGCTGGAGAAAACACTAACGGTTTATATCGGATATCAGTTTTATAAAAAAACAATATTTAAAGTTACATTTAAAGTCCCATTAGTCATCAACGCACAATGTTAAAATTACATGTCTGCATTTGGCCCACCCCTGTGGGGAGCAGTGAGCAGCAGTGTTGGCTGTGCTCTGGATTTATTTGGTTTAATAATATTAATAATATAGTGGAGGAGTTTAAGTATCTCGGGGTCTTGTTCACAAGTGAGGGAAAACTGGAGCGTGAGATCAATAAGCAGATTGGTGCTGCATCTACAGTGATGCAGGTGTTGTACCGGTCTGTCGTGGTGAAGAGAGAGCTGAGTCAGAAGGCGAAGCTCTAGATTTACCGGTCGATCTACGTTCCTACCCTCACCTATGGTCACGAGCTTTGGGTGATGACCGAAAGAACGAGATCGCGGATACAAGCGGCCAAAATGAGTTATCTCTGCAGAGTGCCTGGGCTCTCCCTTAGAGATAGGGCGAGAAGCTCGGTCATCTGGGAGGGGCTTGGAGTAGATTTGCTGCTCCTCCACATCGAGAGGAGCCAGTTGAGGTGGCTCGGGCATCTGGTGAGGACACCTCCTGGATGCCTCCCTGGTGAGGTTTTCTGGGCACGTCCAACCGGGAGGAGACCTAAAGGTAGACCTAGGACACGGTGGAGGGACTATGTCTCTCACCTGGCCAGGGAACACCTTGGGATTCCCCAAGGAGGAGCTGGCCCAAGTGGCTGGGGAGAGGGAAGTCTGGGCCTCTCGACTTAGGCTAATGTCCCCGCGACCCGACTCCGATAAGTGGATGAAAATGGATGGATGGATGGATACTAATATTAATAAAAATAATAAAAACAAAAAATACATGTTTATAGAATAAATGTGGTAGGTGAGATAAAGCCTCAAACCACATGTCTTGACTTAATAATGTCCAAGTGAAGCAGAACATTTCAGGAAATGTTTACCACACCTTTACATTTTTTTAAATGTAAAAAATTGACTGTAAAGTCTGCTAGAAGTTCGGAAGGAAAATAAGAAGTAGCAGGAAAATGGGATGAAGGTTCCACAACCACAACATGAACAGATCTCCACCCAAACACACGTTTGCATCAGCAGGAATGCAAACATTCACCTGCTGCTTGTTTCTTATTTTCGTTTCAGGCAAATAAAAAGAAGAAAACAGCTGAAGAGAGTCACATTGGTGACTGCAGCTGGGTATGAATCTGTGCTAACCACCCTGTCATGATAAAACAACGAGGGTGGGGAGTGCAGTTGGACTTGAATGCTACAACAAAGCAGTCTTTGATAAAAATATTGAAAAGCCTTCATTCAATAAAACCCCCGGCCAAGTTCAGGTTGGGGTTAGGAAGTCAGAATTAGCTCCTTAATGGGTCATGCATTTATGCATGAAGCCATTCCTGCTTTTGTTATTAGTGAGTATAAAGTACAACTTCTACCTGCCGGGGTCCTAACATGTCCATTTGTGCCCGTCCATCCTGGTATCTAAAACCACAGTGACTGCTTTTCCTCCTGATTTACAGTCGTATTAAAAACAAGATGCATATTTGGACGACAACGGGTGGATTTGGCAGCAAAGCTCATGTTCCACTTTACTCTGGTTTTAGGAGCCAACTTCCCCCCCGAAGATCCACCTGAGAGGCGAAGATTCGACGTGAGTAGGGGGGATAATGAACTCCTCTCCTCCAGCCCTGCCTTGGTTTATTTACAGTATATCTGGGCTAACGCGGCTCCAGGCAACACCAGAGGCCTGCACATCCCTCCCTCTCCCTCCGCCATCTTTGACACAGATGTTCTAATAAACGCTCCTCATTAATCAGCCCTCTCCCTCAATATATCACTCTACCTCTCACAGGGAGCCCTGCCTGTGTGTGTGAGGAGAAACAACGCACACACACACCTACTCACACACCAACACACACACACATGCAAGCATACGCACTAAGTGAAATCAAGCAGATAACCAGAGCCTCTGCTTCCACTGTGGTGCCAGCAGGAGGGCTGAGCTCAGGTTTTGTCAACAGGTAGTAAGCCTGGGTTTCTCTGTGCATGTGTGTGTGTGTGTGTTTATGACTGTGTGTGTGCATAAAATTGTGTGTGGACCCTTTAAATGATAGCCATCTGCAGCACAGAGTGCTTATCGGAGAGACCAGGAAGTAGTACTGGGCTACTATCGGTCCCCAACATCTACTGCACTCCCCACCACAGGAGACAGGAAGGGAGATGAGCGTGTGTCTGTGTCTCTGTGTGTGTAAGAGAATAACAGTCAGCAGGCAGGTACTGTAGGCACCCAGCTGCTGCATTAGACTGTGCTACACACACAAAACACAAACACACACATGCTAACACACAACTTAGCCTGATGTCTTGAATCAGCTGGGAGAGCGGATCCTATTTACAACATTGTGCCTTGTCTCTCGCCAGCATCTAACTGAGCTCAATTATGGCACATATCCACCTCAAATGGGATGACCCCCCCCCCCCCCCCCCCCACACACACACACACACACACTCACACACACACACATGCACGCACACTGGCAAACCAGGTTGTGCCTGTATCAGCGGAGGTGGTGAAGGCCTGCAAAGATGGCATTTTGATGACTATTTGCCGCTACACGACACAGCAGCTGGTGCACCAAGGGCCGCCCAGTGAACACAAGTGGGGGGGGGCAAGAAATGGCAGTGTGTGTGTGTGTGGGGGGGGGGTGGGGGGTGGGGGTGGGGGGGTCTCGCTTGTTGCCATAGTTTCTGTAAACATGGACGAAGGAGTTTGCCCAGATTGATGGCTGCAAGAAGAAATAAAAAAAAGTCGGATCGATTGATTGAGGTCGAGTCAGGAGGAGTTTAATTTTGCAGATGCTTATTGGAGCACTCACTGTGTGTGTGTGTGCGTGTTCGTGTGTGTGCATGTGTGCATGTGTGTGTGCGTGCAGGTTGGAGTCAACTGCTCGAGCAGACTGACAATAGCCACGAGTGAATGCTCCCTGTTCTGGTGCCATTTATCGGCCGAGCACACAAAGAACGACTTGCTGCTACAAAAGAATGAATCCTAATGTTTGACAAGACACCGGACAAAAGGAGCATTTCACATTAAGGAGGAAAAAAACTGTCCGCCCTCCTCCTCCTCCTCCTCCTCTTCCTCAAGAGAGTTGTTCAGAGGTGGGATCACTCTCTCTTCCCCGCTCTCTTGCTCGCTCGCTGCAAATCTTTTATCTGTTAACCTCCCTGTCAGTCTGGGATTACACAGCAGAATATTACTAATCCTAAAAAGGTGCCAATCATCCGTTCCCTCCCACCACGCCCCCTTCTCCTCCCACTTGCTTCACTTTTAGGTGAAGTCTTGCAGGGGAGGGTGGGCAGAGTGACACCACCGCTCTGGAGGCAGCAGGGTGGGTCCCGCGGACGTAACGATCAGGTTTAATTGTGTTTAGGAGGAGTGAAGCGCTCCTGGGTGAGGGCGGTGCCCCCCCCAAAAGGAGCTGATGTCATCAGATCAGGTCACAAAATGAATCCATCAAGGTGCTTTTAAAGTTTGCTGCTTTAAGTTCGATTACAGGAAACACATTTATTCTCAGAATAAAAGTTCATTCTGATGATTAGATCTGAAACGAGTTAGTCGGTACTGCAGAGCTGTGTGTGAGACAGACTGAATGGGCTTTGTGTGTTAAACCATCAGAGCTGGTGTGTGAGAGAGAGAGTGTGTGTGTGTGTGTGTGTGTGTGTGTGTGTGTGTGTGTGTGTGTGTGTGTGTGTGTGTGTGCTCCTCTGAGCCGTCTTCACATATGGACCGTAAACAGGGTGATTACCAGATCGGGCTGGGCTCCGGCTGAACGCCACCTAGGGACTCTTTACATCATCATGCCCAGCTAAACGTACACACACACACACACACACACACACACACACACACACACACACACACACAGCTGAAGCGAGGGTCTCCTGGTGACCATCCTGGTCTGGGAGGAGAGTTGGCTTCGTGAAATCCTCAAATAACACCTTCACACGTACAGTCTGTACGTTTCACAAGCACATATCTAGTTGAACGGTGCGCACACACACACACACACACACACACACACACACACACACACACACACACACACACACACACAGTGGTCACTGTGAGAAATATTCCATCTTTTTCATTCCCTTCACTCCACAGCCTCCTCTATGATATACTCGCTACGCTGCTTTTTAGTACAATATCCACGCGAGCGCGTTCCCGCACCGAGCCTCCCAGTCGACTACGCCGAGCTGGATTCAACACAGAATACGTGAACGTACCGCTCTCCAGCGCCGCACCATGAAAGGAAGTGAGCTAAAATACAGAAAGAGCAGAAACAATCCAGATTGTTCTGGGTTCGGTCCAATGTTTATCTAACAATAACCATATGTTCAATAACACCTCTGCTTTTTGGCTGCCACTGCACACACGTCTGTGCGTGTGTGTGTGTGTGGTGTGTGTGTGTGTGTGTGTGTGTGTGTGTGTGTGTGTGTGTGTGTGTGTGTTGTGGGCTGTGAAAGAAACAAAATCAGGCAGCAAACAAATGACAATAGCCATTGATTTGGAATTTCTATGCCGATTCTCTTTCCCAGTTGATCAAACTCAGGGCATTTGATAAGTAGAAGATAAAAGACGGAGGTGATGGAGATAGGGGGTGTTTGTTTTTTGTTATGTGGTATGGTAGCGGGAGGGGTGGGTAGTTGTTTTTTGTTTTGTTTGTTTGTTTGTTTCGTTTGCTCTTTGTTTGGTTTTGGAATAAGCAGTTTGGGCTTCAGCACCTGTGATAAAGGACATTCTTTAGCCAGAGAGCTCTGATTCATGTCTTTGAGTAACTCCTTGAGGGCGTTTCTTACTGTAGAGTGGCTCCATTGCTCGGGCGGCAGGTCCTCCAGCTTAGGACAACTAGGAAGGAAAAGGGGAGACATGGGGGATAAGGATGAGGAGGGGTGAGGAAGGATGGATGGAGGGATGCAGAAGGAGAGAGAGAGAAAAAAATCACCTTAGATTAAAAATGAAACACAAGCAGGGCTTTGATAAGCATCTTTATGCACATTTAGAAAGATGACTTTGATGGAAACATAAGGAAACCTTTTATTTTTGTGTGCAAATGTTTGGAATAAATTGCTGAGGTTTCAAAATGTAACATTTACTTAAGCCAATTAACTTTACAGCTTTATAATTTGAGTTGGGTAGGGGTCACATGACATAAAACTGTTTGATTTGTTGCTTTAACCTGTTGATGCGGCGGGGGCAACACATTACGGCTTCCACACTTACATTACTCTTAGACCGTTTGTGCAATAAATGTCATTCAAACAGATTCCAAAATCGGAGACCACGTCCTTTTCCAGCAGAATGTTGTACTTTATTTTTGCATATAGTAAAATTAGTAAAGATTCTGACATATTTTAGAACATTTTTGCCACATTTGTCCTCATAGTTTATTTCAGCTGTGTTTTGCTGAGGTTTTTAGTCGTTTAATAGATTTTTGTTCTATTTTGTAAACAACTGGAAGGAACACCACTCAGAAATTCTTCCAGAAAGAGACAACGTCCCTCTAGATTCATTGAGGTGGATCCAGATGTGGACAAAACAGCTCTGCCATCACAACTTTTCACCTTTCCTCCACTGACAAGCTGGGGGTGGGGGGTGCACTCTGCACAACAAAATCACTTCCTGGGTGTGCAATGAATGCAACATTGGGCTTTTTCTGTAGATGATTTGGTACCAGTTTATACTGGTCACTGAATCCAGTTTCATCTCTACAATCCAGTTAATAAGAGTTTTTTTTCTTTAAAAACATTTAAATTTTGCCTTAAATTTTCACTAAAACATTAATGGAGCCAAATCGGCAGCTTCAGAAGCTAAATATAAACAGTCAAATCTACAAAATACCAACATTAATGTTACATCTGCCTGCAGATGTCAGATTTTTTTCATATTCCCTGTTTAAACGTGAACAAATGTGTCCTGCCTGTGACCAAGCCTCTTCTAGAAACTAGAATGGCTGCAAATAGAAAAGTAGAAAAATGAAAGCTCTTAATATAAGAATTTAATCCTTTCACGGTGGTTTCTTCCTCATTTTCTATGCATCTTTCTGCTTGGTTCATTTCTGGAGCTGAATTCCAGTCTTTGGACTAAAAGCTTTCTTTTACACCCGTCTGCTGTTGACTCATCAACACATAAAACCACCTCAATTCCAAAACTAAAGCATCTTGATTATTTTAATTCTATTGATTTAAAACTTTGTAGCATTTGAAAGTCAGCTGATGGTTTGGGCTTTAATTAGAGCTTCAGACGTTGGTGGAACCAAAGGTGTGGGACGTGGCGCCGGTATTAGTCCAGCCCCGTTTGGAGTTCATGTATTGATGACGTGACGGAAGACAGAAGCAGAAAGAGAGAAAGAGCTGAACACATGGACCTCTGCTCGTTTTTCCTGCTGCAAGCGTCCCTCTAAGACAGACAGATTTCATTTGGCGCATCAAGCAGATGCATCTGGAGATTGCTCTGTCTCTCCCTCTTTCTCTCTGCCTCCCTCTCCTCAATATTCTTTCTCCCCCCATCTCTCTCTCTCTCTCTCTCCTCTCTCTCTCTCTCTCTCTCTCTCTCTCTCTCTCTCTCTCTCTCTCTCTCTCTCTCTCTCTCTCTCTCTCTCTCTCTCTCTCTCTCTCTCTCTCTCTCCTCTCTCTCTCTCTCTCTCTCTTCTCTCTCTCTCTCTCTCTCTCTCTCTCTCTCTCTCTCTCTCTCTCCTGATTGTTCTGATTAGTTAATTACTTTATACAACACATCTGCTGGATTGACGCATGAATTATACATCAGCTGCATGCGGCGACTATTATTTCGTGTTACTTGTACCTTCCTGGCTTGTTGTGTTAGCCAAAACAATTTAAGGTCTGACTGGGTGGATTTCTGCAGCAAATCCCAGACAACAACAACACAGATGATGTGCAGCGAACCCGGAGGTCTGTTGGGCGTTTGGCTGGTGGGAAGAGTCGTGAGCTGCAGGCGAGCAGCTCTACCTGCAAAAACACTCCTGGGTTTTTGAAATGCGATTTTAGATGGTGGGTGTGAGCAGCTGAACTGGGCTTTGGTGATTGCACTTTCTCTGCATTGATGCTCCACGTGTGTGAGGTACACGTTTGGCTTTCTGCATCACGATTAATTATTGTTGATCAAACCCGATTTTACAACCTGCAGAACCGAGAGTCTGAACAGGCAGGTTTGAGTCCACCGGCGTGTTCGAGCGGTTGACCGTAAATCAGTGGTTCGACGTGTTGGGTGAGCGTGGAGATAACAGGAGAAGGACAAGGATAGAACAGACAAGGATACGTGCACCCGGTCGAGGCCAACATCTGCTCCCGAGAAAACGCACGGTCTAGCATGTGCGCACCCCCCATCAAGCCAACAATGGATCTTCCAGAAACACCTTAAACTGCTCCAGCAGCCAGAAAGCCTCCGGGGAGGTGGAAGCGAGCAAGAGGAGGGGAGACAGACGGGAGTGGAGGAGAAAGACGGCTACCCGCGTGTTCAGGAGGATGGCAAGCCGGAAATAAACACAACCTTCTGCATTCTGGCTGGTTCACATCAGTCAGTGCACGTGTGAGTGCCTGACTGGTGAAGGGGGGGAGGCGGTGGGGGAAACAGAAGGAGAGGGGGGGCAGGAGGAGGAACAGCTCTCCAGAGAGTTGCAGAACACTGGGTTAGCGTGCAGCTGGCACGAGCCTCCACACCAGCGCCAGTCGAGTGTGTGTGTCCTCTGTTGTCTGTTTGTAAAAACACACCAGAGCCCCAAACCTAAAACGACTATTTAGCTTATCATGTAGAGAGCAACAGCTACTAACACCTTTCTTTGTATATTAAAGATTTGAGGTAAAAGCTACAATTATTCATTTATAAAACTTCATGTTTAAGAGAAGAATAAAAGTATCTTCTGGTCCTTCCCAAGTCCAAAATTAATACAATTCATGTACTTTTTTTAAATATAAGATAAACTAAGATGAGATGAGGAACCACCTGTGAGAACTTCACATCACTGTGAAGGAATTTTCCCCACTCTTCTTCGTTTTACTTATTTAGACACAGATTCCATCAGGTCTGGACTCTGACAGGACCGTTTGGGTTTGCTGTTCTGTTGGCTGCAGAACAAGCCCAAACCACTAACACTCCACCACCATGCTGATAGCTGAGATCAGCTGTTTGTGTTGATACTCTGTTTGCTTTTATCCAATCGGCTGTCGTGGATTATAGGTAAACGCCTCCATTTAGTTACAGAAGCCTTATAGTTTGTTTTGCAAATTTTGCAAACCTAAACTGATAAATCCTAAATTAGTTCAGCCCCTATTATTGTCCTGTCATGAACTTTAACAAGCATTTGTTTCTGAGACTTTTGTAGTTCATCTGATCACTGACCTCTGACCTCCGAGTGAACTTATCAGGATGTTCACTCTTTGGAAGACTGGCAGCTCTCTTAAAAGTGTCCTAGAACAACGTATTTATTTTTTGGGTTATTTTACAACTATAAACTGCTCTTTGCCGCTATATAGCTCATTTAGATAAATATGAAACTTTGTTGGGACTGAAAATGACCCAGGAGCCATGATGAACAAACAAATACAACCCCATAAAAAAGCACAAAAACCCACTTGGGCCAGGACATTAAAGGAGCTGCATGCTGATTGGCCAGCTTACTCTGATGGCTCTATGATCCTGCCCAAAGCTAGAAACTCTGTGTTCAGTATCTCAAAAACTCAATAGGCAAGCTGCAGATTTGAACTGAAATACAGTATTAGCATTAGCTCAGCCTAGCATTAGCAGTAGCTCAGGCTAGCATAGTTCTGTGGTTAGCATTATTACCATCAGTGGTTTGGAACATGCTGTTAAGGGGGTCTCTCTTGTTTACGATGCGTTAACCATTTTTTCTCAGAAAGAATAATTTGTCAGCGGCCATTACAGCATCAATAATGTACACAGGAAAACAGGTCGGAGATGGCACCAACTCCCCAAGATGCCTCTATTCAACAATAAGGCGAATGTGGTTTTGAGTTTTAGACTTTTTAAAAGTGTTTCACTTGTTAATAATGTTTCTGTCTGTAGAAGGAAGGTACAAGATGATGCAACTGCTTTTCTAAATCTTACCTTATTGGCGCTGTGTTAACACACGACTGCATGCTCCAGAGCATTAAAGTGACACCACAGAGTAACAAGTTGAAACCTCATTTAAAATCCTGTAAGGACCCACTGACTTATTTTTAATTATGTCTCACTTAAAAATAATAAAACAATACCAGGACTGTATTTACTGTAGATTCTGAAGAAATGTTTTGGGCCTGACACATCCAAACTAGCAACTAGCTCTAATTTGGGGGGTTATTGCAGGTGAACAACTTTGCATTTATATTGTAAAAAAAAAATAAATAAATAAAAAGACAATATTTTAGTTATGCATTTATCTTATTTAGAAAAATAAATGATTTTAGCAGTTTTTGTAAATTAACTTAAAAGCAAAATGTCACCATAATCTGCAAATAAGTTATTTTCACTGCATTTAGATCAGTTACTAGAGCTACACCCACTCGATCACTTATGAGCGTGCAAACTAAATTGCTAGCAAAAAGTCAATGATGCTATCTGCGTGCTCATCTCCTAACAGATAAACAGGCAAATAAATCGCTTTCTGTGTTCTTTGGCTCGACGTGGTTTTATGACTGATGTTTTTTCCTGTTTCCTGGGGAGTGGTCACTCCGCTGAGGCTCTGAATAATAATGCTATTCTGTGTATCAAACCAGCAGATTGGCATCAGCCTCTGGGGAAGTGCTGCGTGCTAATTGTGTCAGTGCTGCAATCAGGGATTAATGTGACGTGTTGTACATAAAACTCTCACACGAGATTAGTGGATTTTGCAGGTGAGCGTTTGTAAACGGTCCTAAACGTCATGAACTCACCTGTGCAGCTGGATCTTAAGCGTGACCACGTGGTAGACGTCCTGCAGCATGTCGGCCACGGTGTGGCGTCTGGTGCATCTGTAACGTATGACAGGGGGACAGGGTTCCACTTCCCCACTTGAATCATACCTTGGTGGATAACACACACAAATGCAGATGTCAGTAAATATGCACACACTCAGGGAAAACAAAAGAAAAAACAGATGCGGACACAAGAGCAAGTACATCTGAACATCTGAGCTCGCCGTTGCTTCTTAATTTAAAGCTGTAACACGTGGAAAGTGTGAACAGCACCATGTGTAGGCACCCAAGAAGCATCTTGGTGCCATAATCACTCTGCGCTCCTCTTTAGTTATTAGTGAAATCACAACAAGCGTGTGAGAATTTCTCCTGACACTCTTAAAATCTGCAGCAGCTCACACAAGAGAGGCAGGACTGCACATGATAAAGGTGGATTAGAGTATGTGTGTGTGCATTTGCATTTATGTGTGTGTGTGTTTGCATGCATGTAATTTGTGTTTGTGTGTGTGTGTGTGTGTGTGTGTGTGTGTGTGTGTGTGTGTGTGTGTGTGTGTGTGTGTGTGTGTGTGTGTGTGCATTTGCACTTATGTGTGTGTGTTTGCATGCATGCAATTTGTGTGTGTGTGTGTGTGTGTGTGTGTGTGTGTGTGTGTGTGTGTGTGTGTGTGTGTGTGTGTGTGTGTGTCAGTGCGATAGACAGGATATAATAAAAGAGCATGCAAAGAGGCACGTTGAAACAGTCAGCCTCGACCTGCGTGTGCTTGACAGCAATTAGCAGACCCTTTCCTCCACCTGCCTCTACCACCTACACAGAGTGTGTATAAATATATACAGTAAGCGTGTGTGTGTGTGTGTGTGTGGTTGTGTGTGTGACTGTGTGTGCATGTGTGTGTGACAAACTATACATGATTTAGAGCATGTGTCTGTGTGGGAATGTAGGACACTCGAGCATCTCCTGTCTAGATCAGAGTCAGGGTGTGTTCTTGCAGTAGGATATTATGGTCACACAGTGTGTGTGTGTGTGTGTGTGTGTGTGTGTGTGTGTGTGTGTGTGTGTGTGTGTGTGTGTGTGTGTGTTTTCCTCTTTACCTTTGGCCTGAGCTGCTGAGCTGTGGGAGTAGCCGAGCGACAGCAGGGCCATCTCGATCAGCTGGTTGAAGAGCATGTCCTTACGCACCAGAACGAACTCGGCGTGCTCCTCCTTGCTGTCGAAGTCCATGGGGTTCTCGTAGTGTTCCACCACGCAGAACACGGGCAGCATGTTGCCCTGATGACACAGACACATGGGAGGAGATTGAGTGGGTTAAAACTTCAGCTCTCTGTTTGCAGTGGATGAAATTCAAATCCAGCTCTTCTGATGATGATGATGATGATGATGATGATGATGATGATGATGATGATGATGATGATGAGGTACCAGTAAGTGTTGAAGGGTTCTGACAGAATGAGTAAACGAATGATGGGCAGCAACAAACACAAAGATAAATCTAGACCCAAAAATGGTTCCCAACAGTTGGGTCGGGGATGATCCAACTTTGTGATCTTTAAAACTGTGTTAGAAATGGGACTTTTGGCCTAAACCAGGTGGGTTTAAGTTTAAAGTGTGGCTGTACACAAATTAAAAATAATAAAATATTAGAGGAGGCTCTGTCCTTTGGCTTACTGTTAATGTTCGCAAACTTTATCAGGATCCTTTTGGGGTCGTGAGGCAAAAACTGAAAACTCTGACTTAAAAATCAAGCATTACACAAAAGTTTAGAGAGTTCTCCTTATTTTGAACTGTTGACTTTTGATTTGTGTTTAGAAATAACAAAAAAATAAACATAACTCTTCCCGTGATGCAGCACTTCAAAATCCCGAGCCGCCTCTGCACCATGAGGTTTACTCATCTTGTGTCAACAACGGCGCCGCTGTTTCAGAACTCTTGTCCAAAGACACGATTTTCAATTTGGGAAACATTACCCAGCATGCATTTTTTTAATGACCGCGACCTCCTTGTAAATTAAGACTTTAAAGAAGACAGACAGATGTGGCCTTTTGCGGTCGTGGAGGAAAACCAAACAAAGTGTTGATGGAAGCAGAAATCTACCCTCTCTGTTTCTGAAGTGGCCTGTTGCTTCAGTTTTCCAGCAGTTCTCCCATCAACCAGACTATTTCCTGCATGTTTATTGTCACTGCAGACAAAAATGATTCACTTTCTAATATTTTCCGATCCCAAGCATTCCAGAAGATGTGTGCAGCCCTGGCCAAACAATCAATAAGCTGGCAAATGCAATGGAATGTGCTGAAAGAGCTGCTTTTCTCCTCCCCTGATTTTAATAGATAAAGATCTAACAATAAAGACTGCTGTGTAGGTTCATTTGGGGGATCAATACTGGCTTTGTTTCCAGGGAGCCCAGAGAGGGCTGCGGTAAATATTGTTTCGGGCTCGGACACAATGCCCACTGTGGGCTCTCTGCGAAGCCTCGGCAGCGGAGCACCCGCCTCCCCCGGCTGCTTCGCCCTCTAACAACCCCAGATGAGTGGGACAAGTTGGAGGAGGGAGGGAGTAGCGGGTTTAAGAGGACCAAACGCCGTGGGAGACAGAGGACACGCAACGATGATGAAGGGGACAAATTAGACTCTCTCGGCTGGAGCGTTGCATGAAAAATACAGGAAATAAAAGAAACAACCCATGTGAGGACGCTCACACGGCCACATTCCAACACTTTCTGCTTCTCTGGTGGCCAAAGAAAACCAAAGCAGCCAAAGCAAACAAACAAACAGTTCAGCAGCCAAGTGAGCTGATGACTCCAAAAGTAAAAGTTCTCTAAAGTATTTCCACTAAACATGAAAAGGCTCAGCCTGCTGACGCCAGTTCTGCTCATCATGCAAAGGCCTCGGCTCTTCTTAGGACAGAAACGTCCCCCTCTGGGCAGCAGAGCGGCGCTCCAGCGGGAGGAGGACTGTGCAGGAACCATCCTCACACTGCTGCTCTGTTAGCTCACTTTTGTCTGTTTATGTTTATGTTTATGTTTATTCGTTTAGCAGACGCTTTTATCCGAAGCGACGTACAATTTATAACCTATAGGGCATGTTGTGATCTGTGGGGGAAACCGGAGTACCCGGAGGAAACCCACGCATGCATGGGGAGAACACGCAACCCCACGCAGAAAGGCCGCAGCCGAGCCGAGTTTCCAACCTGCAACCTTCGTGCTGCGAGGCAACAGTGCTAACCACTGCGCCACCATGCAGCCCATGTCTGGTCCAATAAGTGTGTGTAATATCTGAGTGTGTGCACGGACTAAAGAAGCCTGGTGCAAAAGCATGCTGGTGTTGGATGGCACGTGTGTGTGTGCACAAACAGCATTTAAGTCTCCTTATGATGGATGATCTAAAAATGTACAGAAAACTTCCATTTCTAAAAGCTGTAATGGAGGGGTGAAAGTTTTCCAATTCTGGGAAACAAAAAAAAAATGAAGTTTTGAGAAGCTGCTCCACAGTCCCCCACCACCCCCCCACCCCACCCCCACCACCCCACCACCCCCCCACCCCTACCTCTCTTGTGGCAGGCCTTCAGCAGGTGGCCGGTGGGTTTGAACGGGGACCCCGGCTAGCTTGGCCCCGGCGCTGCCCAGCCTGGCGCGGCCCAGGGGGCTGCCGTTC